CTGCCGCCTTCAGATACCCGAGTAGGGTACACTGCATAAAGAAACCTTAGGGATTGTCAGAAGGATCTTATGAAGTGATGCGTTCTTCTGCATTACTTCATAAATCCCCCCTCTCCCCAACATTTAATACGGAGAAGTCTACTAAGAGTACTGTAGGGAGACAGCAAATGCTAAGTCAACCTAAACCAATGATACAGATAAGGCTAGTTACAAAGACTTAAGGTAATGTTTGGTATGGCCTCACATTTTTAGTACTTTTTCATTTGCAAATAAAGAGGAGGTTTTTTGGAGTGTCGCTATGCAAACGCTCACACCAACCTCAAAATATAAAATCAACTGCTATGTAAAGACATAATGTAAATGGCATTAACTGCCCAGGATTTTATTTTCTGTTGGTTGCACTTATTTTACAAGTGCTTTAGGCAAAACAAACATAAATTATTAGCAGCAGCACAAATTCAGAGCTTTGCAAACATTTAAGCTTATTTCTCACAACTTGCAAGAAAGCTCTTTAAAAAAAATCTATCCACTTACACTGAAAAACCAACTCCCTATTCCCTTTTAATAAAAAATAGGCCTTTAAAAAAAAAAAGATCTGATCACTATTGTTTGAAAGCACTCGAAAGCAATAAGATGGTCACAAGACTTGATCTGACTGTTCTGCCCCTTTACAAACTCAATAAAGCTTGCTTTTTATGACTGATTGCTGCGCTGTATTAATCCCCTAGCATATAAAACAAGTCTATTGGAGACTGGGACTCCACTGGGGGAGGACAGGGAAGCTGTTGTGTTCTGAGAATTAATCCATCTAGGAAAATCAAAAGCCAGCCACTCACAATACAGTAATCAGCATGTTCTCCACTGTGAAAGCCCTACATTTCCCATTTAGAAAACACAACTATTACTCCATTATATACTGAAACACACGAAACTCTTTTATTTATTTGTGTTTGTTATTATTTGGCTTATATTTATGGGTTCCTGCATATTCCGTTGGTGGGTATACAACCATCAAGTTTAAAAAAAAAAACCCAACAAAACACACCCCCTGTCTATTCCCAACTGCTTAAAAGGAAAAAGGGACTCCCACTGTTTTTTCCACAACCAAAGTTCTTTCTGGATTTGCTTTGTGAACAGGATTTTAACTCTTTATTACCCTAAATAAAAGGAAATTCTTTGCATTTTTTCCTTACACAGAAAGTTCATTTTCTGTTCAGGATAATTATGTTTGGGTTTTTTTTCTCACTTTGTTAAATTACATAACATGAGCTTCCTAAGTAGTGGTGCTAAAATAAAAAAAAATGTTTGAAGTTTTATAATTACTCAATTGAAAATGACTTTATTTCTAGGTGCTATTAATTTGATGCTCCTTTGTTAGCAAAAGTTTGAATCTTTCCTTTTGAAGTTGAATGATGTAGCCTTCCAAATAAAACTTTTTTTTTAAGAGTAGAATTCGTATTTTTGCCATTTAGGTGCTAGACATATGAATTTTCTGTTCTGTTACGGAGATAAAGATTAAAAAACCCAAACAAAACCAGCTGCAAATCTTATGTGACACATTAATTAACCTGCTAAATGAAATCTGGCCTAAACACAAGAAGTAAGGCTTATGGAAATCAGAAATCATTGAGGAAGTTATCTGATAGGCCATGTGCTCAAGAAGAATCAAAAACATATATCCTTTTCCATTCAGCTAGCAAAAGGCACCTACCTGTATAAAAATGACTTTATAAACCAGCATTTAAACACAACCGTTTTTAATATCTGCTGAAATGTTCCTATCAAATTATTTTTTAAAAAAGCAAATAAAGCACTTTGCTTATATTCGTATTTATTCTTTGCTAAAACAAAGAACATTTTTCTCCCCCATTTGTTTTCCAAGTAAGAAGTCACTACAAGCAACAGAAGTTACAGTCCTTGTTCCTATTGCCATTATCCTTTTATATACATCCTTTACTTAATAAACGGCTAAAGACAGCAGTTTTATATCATTGCCTTGAAAAGCAAGACATGACTAAAAACCCACTAGGTCAATTCCACAGTCCCACCCGGTCAGCACGGTAGACACTGAAATCTTACGGTTAACTGGAAACGATCTTAGCAGTCCGGCTATACTCACCATCAGTTTTAAGTACTACTATATAGTTCTCATAGTTCAAAGTACCATGTGTTTTTTTAAATCAAAAAACAAACAAGAGGAGCAAAAGCTGATGCACGTGGCTGAATGTCTGTTACAAATACATGTAGTTTTAGGACATAAACTTGCTTTTCCGTTTAAGAATGGGATTAAATGATGACAACAACGTGAACAGTTTAACTTTCTGAGACCTTCCTGTCGGACACAACTGAAGATTACCAAATGACAGCAATGATACACAAGTGCTAGTAATATTAAGCTGCAATTCTGGTTTTGCTTATGCATGAAGCATTACATGTCTCAGCTAGCAGGGCAAAGCTATGGCACATACAGAGTTAACTGTGCCCCCCCGGCCCTTCTTCACCCCCCTTCTCCCCCCATCTCATTCATGCCACATTCCACAGTGGCAGGGTCCAACAACAATATAGGAGGGTACCCAAAATGAAGAGGCAGGGCCTTCCATTCTTCTGCCTCTCTTGAATTAATTAACTGGAAATGAGTTTTGTCAATGTTTTGGAAAGGCAGAGGGGTGAAAAGAAACTGCTAGAATTAATCACAGTGAGAAACTACCTCTTCAGCAGTCTGCCAGAGTTCAGAAAACCCATGAGAAGTGCAAAATAAAAGGAAAGTGGGCTGACTTACCATCCAAAGGAACAAATAAAATTCAAACAAACACCCAAGTCTCCAAAACAGAGACATGCCCCAGTGCGAAGGAATGTAGCATCTGTTGCCACAACAGCTTCAGCTTTGTTTTTAATATACTTGTCATGAAGACTGAATGGTAACAAGGTAGAAAAGACAATTTACTAATAATTTAAATACACAGAAAGCATGCTGTGTTTAATTCACTAAATATTTATCTACATCCAGTGTTCCACTGATCCTTATATAAGCAGAGATATTTAAGCACCATAACTGAAAACGAGTAACTTTCATTGTTTAGCCCTGACTCGGCACAGATCTTTTCAACGGCAGAGGCAGACTGCAAAGCAGTTATCTTTGCCGAGTTTTTAACGATAGTTATCTCCAGGTTCAGTAATGCAAATTACAACAACTCAATATTGCACGCATGACATCTTTCTACTAATGAAACAAGAAAATAATGAAATTTCAGCCATCTGAAAAGAAGGATCTTTTTCCATAGGTTAATTTACCTAGATATTTAGAAAATGTGTAGGTGTCCTTTTGTTGACAATGGTGAGGCAGAAGTATCATTTGGCAGTTTGTCTGAGAATGAACGTAACACTTCTGGCAGACTGGAACTAAGACTGAAGAAATCTTGATTGCCTGAGCAGGGAAAAATATTTTAAAAGAGAAATCCTCTTTTACTGATTTGTCTGTTCTTAATTTTTTGTTCACAATGGCTTTTTCCTGACAGATCTCAGAATTAACTTGTCATCTCGTTTCTCTACCTCTACACCCATACTCTCAAGGCTAGAATTGTCTGCCAGCCCCTTCTCCTCCATCTGTGCAATAAGCTCTTGGTTTCTCTCATTCTGTTCAGTGAGATTTCGGAGAGCATATACTGCCCACTGGCTCACAACTGTTGGAGAAAGTTAAGGATCATGTATTTATTTAAACACAAAACAATGCTTGTTTTAATTTATTACTGCATTCCCTTCCTCCCCCTGCACCCGCCCCCCCCATCCCTCAAACCCAGAAAAACAGTACAAATCAAGGGTTTGAAAAAGTAAGACATTTACAGGCAATGACTCTGAACCTGCAAATACTTGCATATGAGGTAATTTAAGTTTAAATGAGGTATGTCCATTAACTTCAGGCAAGTTTTCTAGGTTTTATCTTGAATTAGAAAAAGAAAAACCAAAACACAAATGAACTGCAGGAATTAAAAGGACATATTGTTTTAAACCAAAATTACAGTTAACTGAAATGTTCCAATGATCTTCCTAGTGAGATTAAAAAAAAAAAAAAAAAAAAGTCAGTCACTGTGTTTAGGATCCGAACACTTCAACACTCCACTTCCAAGGACTGGCAAACAAAATGAGCTGTAAATCAGGTACAAGAAAGATGACAACTATTATTTTCACTGTAAAAGTTGAAGAAATGTAGAGAAAGAGAAACACATCTTACCCAGGTTAACAGCTGAAAAAGGCACAAATGATGTAGGAGACAGTTAAAAATATTTAACTTTTAATGTTACCTAAACTCAGTTCTTTGTGCCTGGGTGCTTTTACAAACCTGCCAACTGAACAGACACTAAGATCACCAGCAGGTAGCTCCTGCTCATGTTTAAATGGGCACAAGCTGCAACTCATTCACCTTCTAAGGTGGTCCCTTGAGGCCAGGATTGAGGCACATGTCAGGGCCGTAGACAAAGGATTTAAATTCCCAGGATTATCAGTCAGGCATCTTCCAAGTGAACTACGGTGTTCATTTTATGAAGTGTCAGAGATGTTAGTCCCAATTCTGCAGCTGAAAAGCTATGTTATGATATTATCTTTCCCAGCTTACCCATATGGGAGGCAAGCCATTCTGAATCACACAAAAGTGGTTTGCCTGCAGGGCACCAATTATTTACTACATGTAGCTTCACATCCAGTAGAAGAATATGCATAATTTACTCATCTCCTTGACATCTTTTGGGTTGAACAGTGTCTAGGCACAGAGATAAGACAGTGTTCTTATGGGCATTTGCCAGGGGGTGACTAGGAAGGGAAAACTCCTCAGTTGTGGAAGATGGGAACTTCAGCCAAAATAGTAAAATACAGGAACTGGACTCTCTTACACAATCTGTCATGACAGCGGTTGGAAAACCCAGTACCACTGGATGCACATTCTTACAGTAGTAGTCTTGCCATTTTCTCTGTGCACCTTGCACTGACTGCTGCGCCCACCTTACTGCCACCTCCCACTACCCCTTAGGCTTACACACTTTCAGCAGAGGCAGACAGTCTTTCATGCTGGGTTGCTGGATGCACCAGGCAACGGGGATGAACAACAGCATGTAGCAGAAGCAGTCGTCTTAATGTAAGACCAGGTCCTGCCTTCACAAGTTTATGTTTTAAGAGAGGAGACTTGATAAACTGAGAATACAGGAGAACAAAAAAACCCAAGTTTATGACCATATCTAACCACAGTGCTACTTAGATGTCAAAAGAGAATAGAGAAGGGACTGAAATAAAAAACACACGAGGAATCCTCAACAGAGAGAGGAGCGTTTAGATGAAGAGTAGCTTGGACAAATATCACAGGAAACATATACGCTAGGGAACAACGCTGCATTGGCATGCATCAGTGAAACAGTCCTCTGCCTTTTAATAGCAGTTTACATTTATTTTCACACTCAAGCAGCCTACAATTGAAAATCAAAAATGGCAAACCAGTAATAACTACAGGGCTTTTTTCTGACAGAGTTCTCCAGACTTTGTCAGGAAACATGGTGCACACCTCTTTCATTTAAAAAATTCTGGTGCGAGGTAATGACAGAGGAAGTAATTAAGAAAAAAAAATTATGTATCACATCAAAGCCTTAACAGGTGAACACAACAGAGAATATCAATGTCATCTCCTGTCAATGTATCACTACTATAGTTAAGTGAAAAGACAAGTGTCAAGCTACATTTAAGTTACATAAACTGAGTATTTCCACTGAAGATTATGTTTGAGTATACAAAACAACAATACCAAAGAAATAAAATCATATATGAGCAGAATCTCACTCATCAGCTCCTGGTGAGAACAAATTACAGAATAGTGAAGTGTGCACACTGATGGATGCAGACGAAGAAAGGCTGATACCTGGCAGGTCTTTCCCAGGTCTCATTTAGGGCATTTCACGAGTGCCAAAAAGTTATGCGAAGTTCTCCCAATGGACTGTGGGAAACATGCTGCCACCCTCCCTGGCTCTGCTTCCGGGATGAGGTGCAGACTTCTCTCGTTGTGTTCCTAAAATACAGCTCTGCATAAAATACAGCACTTCCTTAAAAGAATACCTCCTAAAAAAATAAAAGGAATTTTCAAAGAGTGACAGTTCTCAATCATGCAAAGCGCCACACAGAGAAAAAAGCACTCTCGAAAAATTTTTTTTGAGCGTTGGGAATAGTCCTGTTACCATCGTCTTTAAGTCCTTCAACACAAAAACAGTGCTAAATCCCACCGCAAATGATGTTTCCCTATTATCATATCCATTCATGCTTACATAATATCTAAGACATCCCCATTATCTTATGAACTCTATCATCATTATTGCATTTATCATTATTGACTACTGTAGCTGAAGCTGCAAAATGGTTTCAATAACATTTTCACTCATTGAAAAACTCTTTTCTGTAGGTAGGTCTTCCATTGTAAATTCAGTCATGAATATGCATGATTTCCCTTGTTCGCATGCTGTGTGAGGCTAAGACCTTTGGATGGCTGTGTGCAGAACTAGACAGACTTAAGTGTCAGCAGAGATTAAAGCTAGTCCCCAGCTAATATTCACATTACCCTCTTGCTCCTCTCCAAAGATACAGACACAGAGAGAAAATTAAACATATTCCAGAGTCTCTAATCCTACCAACACTTTAAGCACTTTATTGTATGCTCAGCTTTAGAAAGAGCTTCTAAAGTTTCCATAGTTACTACAAATAGGAGCATGAGCCGGTTTGTTGTGAAACTGCATAAAAGAAAAGAAATGCAGCAAGCACAGTAGATCTGATTGCACAGACTTGTCTAGATTTTTCCCAACAGGACATACTGCACTCTCTAATATATATTATAAACAAGATGACAATATCTCTGTCACAGTGCAGAGGTCATACTAAAGAAAGAAAATTAATTTTATTCTGCAGGAGCTTCGTTACTAGACTACCGGTGTTTAGTAAACGAAAGCAAACACTTGTAAGCATTTATAGCAATTCTTTTCCAAAAATCCTTCAATACTGTATGCTATGGGGTTCCTGTTATTTTGACTTATACAAACAATAACAAAACTGAATCAACTTGCCCTGGGTTCAATATTTCTGTAACATCTTCATACAGCAATTTAAAATTTATCATCTAAACTCCTCTGGGTCATAACTTCAATTGTCAGGGAGGGGGGAACACAAGGAGAAAAGAAGAGAGGCGAAGAAAATGTGCTAGGAATCTGCCCTAAAGGATGAAAAATTTTACTATCTGGAATCAACATAAACCATGAAAATCTATGCCACTAAATCCCATGGAAGTTTTGCCACTGACTGCAAAGAGAACTTTTCACAATTCTCTTGTTTCCTTTCATATGGATTCTGCTACAAGCGGTCGCTAGAGTCAATGCTAGCAACAGCCCATGGGACTGTTTAATGGCATGTGAAAGTACAACTGCGTACTGTCAGGAGTTGCTAACCAATATCTTACTGTGATGTATTACTGGAGGGGAGGACTTACAAACCATTTCCCAAAGAGAGTATTCCAGCTTTCCATTCTCATATTGGCAGGTCTAATTTGGACTAAATGTTATTGGCAAGTCTACTGCAGCCATCAGGACCCCTACGAATTGTTCTATAAAACAATCTGGATTCTATGTATGAAAGATAGTAGATGTAATTATTAATGAGGTTTGAATCTGACAAGGTAGATGAACAGCAATGCATAAGTAATCTTGAAAGTATGTTGCTGAAAAAGGAAAGTAGTAAGTTTTAAAAGTTAAGTATTATCAGTAACTAATACAGGATACTGAAGAGTGGTGACAAGGAGAATGAAATATGTACATCTGTTTTCTTAAGTCCCTTTGATAGTTGTTGATACTGAGGAATTTCTAAATATAACAACCTTGGTGGAGAGTTTGATTTATTACATAGTGTAGATACATTTTTTTTTTCTCCAGTTAGACCATTTCCTGCACTACAGTTGATTTTCAATAAGTAAATGATTACTTGGGAAACTTTCTTCCTTAAGAATCATTTGGCCTAATGAATAAGAGAGGATATTCTTTGCCCAATTCCATTACCTCATTTAAGTCAGATTTTTGACTATTTAAATATTAACTACATTTTAATCAAATATAGGAAGAGATACAAAACCTTACCAAGAATGACAACCCACATGAGTTGGAACCCTAGTCAAACAGGCTGTTTATGCAACAGCTAAAACCACTCCGCTTCTCTAAGAGCTTTTCTGGAACAGGTCCATAGGGCTAAAAACCAGAGATAATGAAGATACAATTCTTGTTCATTGTATTTCTTTCTGGTCTTCAACAAGTAATCTAATTATCACTAAAACTTCTGTAGACAGGAATGAAATACTAAAGCGTCACATTAGAAGAATCACTTCCACTTACAGACCTGACTGGACCACACTAAAAAGACATAAGCCATTTCCCCCTCAAGTCTTTCAGTCTTTTTAAGTGCTTTTGTTTCACAGCAACTTAAAAGATAATTCTTCTGACCATAAAAAGATGTCTCTAGACAGCTACCACAACTGTTCATCACAGTTTGGATCAATGCGCTGTGATTGACCACACGTAGTAGACAGTCAAGATTTTGGTCCCTCACAGTCAGCCAAGTTGCTTACAAAGCTCTACAAGTTTCTTCCTGTTGGGGGTTTTAGTAGTTATACAAAGTT